GCGGGCAAGCTCTACGCCTCTGATCATCCTACAGGCCGCGCATAAACAACTTAGCCTGGGGCCACAAGGAGTCTGACCACAGGCCGCGAAGTGCCTCCGCCCGCCCCGCCCGCCCCCGTCAGTGGCCGCCCTCCCCTCCCCACGCATGCACGCAGGCCTCTCGGCAGCCACGGGCGGCTGTGCGGCGCAGCGGAATGGTGCTCGGCAAGTTTTCTCATTTGTTAGCGCCCGACCCCATGTCTCAGGAGGTCCCTAAAAAGTCGAGGCGGCATGGTTAGCAGGGACTCACTGGCTTCTTATTTGGCTTGACCAGCAGCGGCGACCACATTACCTAACCGATCCGTTTGACTTGAGCGACAAGATGACCGCCTTCACCGGTCCTCTGGCCGATGCCCACGTTAGCTTACCATCTCCAGCTTCGACTCTGTCCAGCAGCACGCGCCAAGCCCTCTCGAGCTCTCCGAGGTACATCTACTGCTGCCAGAAGACCGGGTCGCAGTACGGGTGCCTCTGGCTAGCGAGGTAGAGCGCGAAGCTGCTGACGCTGCCCTTGGCGCCTCCCAAGCGTGCCGCCTCGGAGTGCGGCGCAGCCAGCTCCGTCGGCGACGCTCCGCCTACAGTCAAAAACCCAAGTAAGGACGCGCGGTAAGGACGCAAGACCCTTCGAAGCCGAAGTTGGGATTTGTGGGGCGGCGGACGACGAAAACCCCAAGGACGCAAGAGCAAGGAAGAGCAAGGACGCAAGGGTACCCTGAGCAAAGTCGCGCGTCCTTATTGGGGTTTTTGACTGTACAGCCGCGCCCTTGGGCCGCCGCTGGCAGGAGGCCCGTCTGCCACAGGCGCGCCTCTCGGGCGCCTGCGCGCCCCGGTGCGCGGCGTCGGGCTGCGGCCCAGGCTCCGCACGTGCCTGCGCGAGCCGGTCTTTGACTCTCGGCGAACGGTTCGGCGGCCGGGGCACCTGGCCTGAACAACCCTCGCAGGGGCGATCGCCCCTGGGGAGGGGGGACAGCTGCGTGCACGGCACTCCGAGGCCGAGAGAAAAGAGAGAGAGAGAGAGAGAAAGAGAGAGAGACGGAGGGAGAGGAAACAAAAAAAACGAAAGAGACAGAGAGAGAGAGAGAGGGAGAGAAAGAGAGAGAGAGAGAGAGAAGCCCTCGTCTTCGAGACCTGGGCCAGCCGCGACAGCGACAGAGGGAGGAGGGGGAGGAGGAGGAGAAGGAGGAGCAAGAGGAGGATGAGGAGCAGGAGGAAAAGGAGGAGGAGGAGGAGGAGGCCGTCGTTTTCAAAAACATCGCGAGTCGCGACGACGACAGGAGGACGACAGAGTGAGCAGTGCCACCCGCGCTTCTGCCGGGGCTCCTCCAACATGTCGCTGTCGTCGCACGCGTCCCGCAGCAGCTGGTCGGCCTGGCCCCCAGCTCCCCAGGGGCCACTGGTCGGTGGCAACCTCCTCCTCCTCCTCCTGGTGCCTTGTTTCCTCATGGCGCTCGGGTCGCTCAGACGCCGCCACCCCTCCTCCTTGTGCTCCTGCTCCTGCTCCTCCTCCTCCTCCTCCTCCCCTCCTGCTCCTGCTTCTCCGGCTCGGGGTATCTAATCCCACCAGCCCTCTGGCTGTAGGTGGTTTAAGGCGTTTCCTCTTCCACGCCTCCCTTTTCCCCTTCGGGGAGGGGTTTATCATTACTTCCTATGATTAAACACCCCCACATCCCCACCTAGCAGGTCGAAAGCAAACCCGCCGTCCTAACTGTCAGAATATGTTTTTTCTCGCCCGCATGTTGTTGAATTGCGACACATGTAAAAGCAATGGGACGGAATGAAAATCGTTTGGGTAACCCTAAGCGGGTGGTCGCGTCCTACCCACCAAAACACAATACAAAGTAAACGCGTTTCTCGTCAACGCGAACTTTCATGTCGTCGCCGTTGCGAAAGATGTAGCAGGAATGGGACGCGGCGCACATCGCGCGCGGACGCCTGGCCAACCCTACGCAGGACCCCCCGTCCTACCTGCCAAAAAACACAGCAACGTCGATTTTGTTCCCCATATACTAAGCTGGGGTTATTGTTATTACTCGGCCGCCGCCGACTCCAGAGGAAACACACCTACTCAATCACAGACGGACTCATTCTCAGACCTACTCATCTTCATACCTTCTCATGGCCTGACTTACTCAACACACAACACGCAGGCCTACTCATACTCAGACTTACTCATGCTGGGAATTCTTGATACCCAAACTTACTCATACCCGACTCGTTCTCATACCTGCTCATACACAGACTTACTCCTACTCAGACCTACACAAACTCAGACCTTCTCGTACTCAGAGTTGCTCAACGCACGGACTGAGACCTCGCAGAGGGGGCCGCCAGGGGTGTCTTCACGGGCCAGTTCGCGGCCAGTTTGCGGGGATTTCTCAGGCGGTTTGCTTGATTTAATGCCCAGCGTCCTTGGTTTTCACAGCAGATTGCGAGGGTGTTTCAAGCGGAGCGCTGGTTTCAGCACCCCTAAAGGGAGCCGCCAAGGGTGTTTGCACGGGCCCGTTCGCGGCCAGTGTGTGGGGATGTCTCAAGCGGTTCGCTTGTTTTCATGCCCAACATCCTTTGCTTTCAGAACAGCTTGTGAGGATGTCTCGCGCGGAGCGCTGATTTCAGCACCCTCAAAGGGGGCCGCCAGCGGTCACGGGCCAGTTCGCGGCCAGTTTGTGGGGATGTCTCAAGCGGTTTGCTTGTTTTCATGCCAAACACCCTTGGCTGTCAAATCAGATGGTGAGGATGCCTCAGGCGGGGCGCTGGTTTCAGCACCCTTAAAAAGAGCCGCCAGGGATGTTTTCACGGGCCCGTTCGCGGCGAATTCGCGGGGATGTTTCAGGCGGTTCGCTTGTTTTCATGCGCAACATCCAGGGCTTCCACAGAGCAAATTGTAAGGATGTCTCCGGCGGGGCGCTGATTCAGCACCCGCACCAAAAAAACGCCAGGGGGCAGGACACGGGCCCGTTCGCGGCCAGTTTGCGGGGATGTCTCAAGCGGTTTGCTCGTTCTCATGCCCAACACCCTTGGTTGCCAGATCAGATTGTGAGGACGTCTCAGGCGGGGCGCTGGTTTCAGTACCCCTAAAAGGAGCCACTAGGGGTGGTTGCACGGGCCCGTTTGCGACCGGTTTGTGCGGATGTCTCAATCCGTTTGCTCGCTCGCATGCCCGAGCATCCTTGGTTTTCAAAGCAAAGTGTGCGGATGTGTCAGGCGGGGCGTTGGTTTCAGCACACCTTAGGAGAGCCGCCAGTGGTGTGTTCACGGGCCCGTTCGTTGCCATTTTGTAAGGATGTCTCAAGCGGTTCGCTCGTTTTCATGCCCAACATCCTTTGCTGTCATAGCAGATTGAGAGGATGTCTCAAACGGGGTGCTGGTTTCAGCACCCCTATGGGGAACCGCCGAGGGTGTTTTCACGGGCCCGTTCGCGGCCAGTTTGTGGGGATGTTTCAAGCGGTTTGCTCGTTCGCATGCCCAACATCCTTGGTTTTCAGAGCAGATTGCGAGGATGTCTCAGGCGGGGCGCTGGTTTCAGCACTCCTAAGGGGAGCCGCCAGGGGTGTTTTCACGGGCCAGTTCGCGGCCAGCTTGCGGGGGTGTCTCAAGCGGTTTGCTCGTTTTCGTGCTGCGGGGAAGGAGATGGGGCGTGCTGCTCCTTTGGGTCGTGCTCCGGCACGTACCCTCTGTGAGGGGGGCTGCGAACGAATTCCACCGCGTCAACGGGGCGCTGGATGAGGCGCGGGACATCGCGGAGGGGCCGACCAAGAGTCCACCATGGCACAGCTGGCAGATATGAGGTCACAGACGTAATGATTCGCGTCGTGCGTCTGGCCCTTCGGCCCGATGCGGAGTGCAGAAGGCTTCTTTCTGCGTGCCATCTAGGCCCGATGCCAAGCGCGGACGGCCAAAGCCGAGGCGGAAACCGCGAGGATGCCATTTGTAGCGTTTGCTTTTTGCACGCCATGTACCTGCGATTTCTGTTTGCGTTGCCAACTAGGCCCGATGCAAAGTGCGGACGGTTAAAGCTGAAGTGCAGGTCGCGAGGTGCCGCTTGAAGCACTTGTCATTCGTACTCCCTCTGGTGCTGCGGACGCGGCGCCGATGGAATTCTTTGCCTTGACAGAAACGAGCGGCCATATGCATGTTAATGAACGCGCGCGCGCGGTGGATGTGCAGCCGCACTGCGCGCGCGTGTGCTCGCCGCTCCCATGGACGCGCCCGTGGAGCAAACAACTATCATGGACAAGTGCTCGCCGAGGTACTAGCCTACAACATGATATGCACATATGGCCTTGTGTGGCTAATCGCTCGTTTTACACTCCCCACTGCCAACTATCCTTACACAGATGCGCACTACCACTGGCTGAGGAGGGCACGGCCTGGCAGCTGAAGAGGGGGAATGAATGGGAGGCTCATATTATCAGAGTCGAGGCTCACTCTGGCTCATACTCACTCACTCGCATTCGGATTCGCTCGTCTTCGTCAGCCGTGCCGCCCATGTGGACGCGCTATTATAATCAAGCGCTCAAGAACAGACTGTCGCTATCGCATGACATAAAACATGAGATGCACATATGGGAAGCTCCACGCAATGAGAAATAATTGTCAACATGTGTTTTCTCCTCGTCGGCGCTGCGAATCGCGTAGCGGGACTGGGACGCGGCGCACATCGCGCGCGGACGCCTGGCCAACCCTTCGCGGGACCCCCCGTCCTTCCTGTCAAAAACACCGCAACGTCGACGTTGTTCTTGCCGAAGTGTGTTTTCTCCTCGTCGGCGCTGCGAATCTTGGCGGTGCAACGCGCGTGGCTGGAATGAGACGCGGCGCACTTCGCGCGCTGGACATGTTGTCGCCGACGATGCAACATGAGAGGCCGGAGCCAGGCGCGGCGTACATCCCTCGCGGTCTTGTTTCTCGTCGACGTTGCTCAACACGGGGCAGGAATAGGACGTAGATCATGTCGCGCGCTGAACGTCTAGCCGCCCGCGATAGATGAGCGACAGGCGTCGGACGCGACGCAGTTGCTCCCTATATTGCGGGGGGGCGGGGGGGATTGGACGGAACCCTCCGGCTCGTCCGATTCATATACACCCCCTCCCCCATGCGACCGGGAGCCAACCAGGGTCAATGCGTGCTCTCCCCACCATCCCTTTGTGAAAAAACAATGCAAACACACACTCTGCCTCCAAATTCGGAGCATGCGCAGCGAACCCGATGCGGCCTCCCCCCACCATCCCTCTCAACAAACAATACACAATACTACACTTGGCGGCGGCGGCGGCTGCGGCGGGGGCAGCGGCTGCGGCGGCTGCGGCGGTGGCGGCGGCGGTGGCGGCGGCGGCGGGGGCGGCGGCGGCGGCGGCGGCGGTGGCGGCAGCGCTGCGGCGGCAGCGGCTGCGGCGCCGGCGCGGCGGCAGCGGGGGCGGCGGCGGCGGCGGCGGCGGCGGCGGCGGCGGCGGCGGCGGGCGGCGCGGCGGCGGCGGCGGCGGCGGACAGCGCGCGGCGGCGGCGGCGGCGGCGCGGCGGCGGCGGCGGCGGGCGGCGGCGGCGGCGGAGGCGGCGGCGGCGGCGGATTCGCCCCCAGTAGCTGCCCGTCCAAAGACGTCTGCTGCATATGCTGCGTCTCGGGCCAGGCTCAAGTGCTACGTATGTGTTGGGAGGGCGGGTGGGAGTGAGCGAGACGGCTTGCGGGCGGGGAGGGAGTCTTGACCCCTCCCCCTAGCCTCTCCCCTGGACCTGGACGGGGCGTTTCGCGAGCGGTCGGAGCGTTCAAAACGGCCTCGGCGAGGAAGCCAACATCATTGGTTTTACTATGGTTTTGGCTGGCCTCTTGGGGGGGCGAAGCTAACAAAAAGCTCCCCTCTTCTTTGATAGATTTCCTCCGAGAGGGCCCCACGAGCGTTCCCAAGGCTCCCCAGGGTGCCCCAAGATTGACCCAAGAGGTTGCCAGGAGGCCCCAGGAGGCCCCCAAGAGGCCCCCAGGATGCCCCCAAAAGGCTCCCAAGAGACCCCCAAGAAGCCCCCAGAGGCCCCCAGAGGCCCCCCAGAGTCGCTCCAAGAGGCCTCGGCGACAATGCCAAACTCATTGATTTTACTAAGGTTTTGGCCACATGTTGGCCTCCTGGGGGGGAGGCACTGCTGAAGATGACTCCAAGAGCGCCTGGGAGAGCCCAAGATGGACCTCCAATATGGCTTAAGATATCCCACGATGCCTCAAGATGGCTCCCACGATGCTCCAAGAGGCCACAAGACCGCGCCGAGTCGGTTCCAGGTGGCCCAAGCGCTCCCCCAGGAGGCCCCGAAGAGGCCAACATCCTTCCAAAACCTTAGGCGAATCTATGTATTTGGCTTTCTCGCCTTTTCATCTCCGATGGTCACCC